CGCCCCGCGGGGCCGGCAGCCTGGCGCTCCGCGACCCCGCGACCCCGCGCACCGTCCCTTGCTGCGCGACCCCGGGCACCGACGACCGGCACCGCCCCCGGGCCCGAGCAGGGACAGCTCGCTTCTGGCCAGGCTGTTCGCACATCCGCTGTACAGCGGGACCATCCCGCCGCTGACAGAGGACGACGTCCTGTTTAATGTCAACAGCGACATCAGGTTCAACCCCAAGGCGGCGGAGAACCCTGACTGGTGAGCAAGCGTGGCGGGTTGGACTGGCAGGTCCGGACCCTTGAGAGAGGTAGGACCCTCCCAGAATAAAGGTGCTCCTCACAAAAGGCTCTTCCGCCTGGGTACTGTGTGTCCAGGTCCAGGGTCCATGGAGGAGACCCTATGGCCCCCTGTGGGCGGGGCAGTCTTTGTCTCCAGATGCTCCCTCCCTGGGCAGGGTGCGGTAGCTTGGGAGGTACTCAGCACCGTGGGGTGCAAGATGACTGGACAGTGAACCAGGAAGTCCCGTGCCCCACTGCAAGGAGTGGCGCTGGCCACGGGTGGTGAAAGAGTCCGACCATGAATGAATGTGCTGGGGATCCCGTGCATTAGTGAGGAGAGCCACCTTGCCTGGAAATGTGCTGGGCTCAGGTACTTGGTGATGCTTACCTGGCAGACACCTTGAGGAGCCCTTGATGCCTCTAACAAGTCTGTTAAAAGCAGTCCCTGAGGATAGAATTAGCAGAGAAGTGTGCTGGCAGCAGCAAGCCAGAGCACAGAGGCCTCTGGGTGGGGGTGTGGACAGCGGGCAGCCGCCCTGGGCCGGCTCAGCTCTGTAACAGGCACAGAGCCGCCCACCAGGGAGCATCGTTGGAGCTGCCCTGCTTTGCCCTTCCCCCAAGGCCCTTGCTCCCTCACAGATCCAAATAAGCAGATGCTTCCCTCAGAGCAGTGAAATATTAACTTCCAGCAAGGTCAGAACAAATACAGTAACTACCTGCAAAGGTTACCCAAGCAACAGAGGAAAGGCCAGGCTTCCAAAACACTCAATGAAAATCCTCCTCCCCTGAAATCGGACCAGGTCCTATGCTTTGTGCCTGCACAGGAAGGCTTGTATGTAGATGGCTGTGAGCTTTGCTGGCCAGATTTGAGGAAATGCCCAGAAACTTGAATCAAAACAGTGATCCAGGCCTGTGGCTCTCTATGCAGAGGAACAGCCCAGAGCGAGTGGTCAGCGCTGGCTCCTGGGAGGCCTTGAGCCCATCTTTGTGTCTGTGTAGGACTGAACTGAGGCCAGAAGGGCCTCACCTGTGGGTGACTTGAATATGAGAAGGTTCCACTTTCCACCCAGCCCAACAGGAAGACTGAGGGTCTGTCGCTCCTCCAGACCAGCCCCTGAGCAGAGAAGGGAAGATAGGCCATGTGGGCAGCAGGTCCTCTTACTGAGCCTGGGCAGGGGTGAGCAGCTGTCTCTCTTTCCCGGCACCCCCACCTAAGTCTGTTCATGTTAAAATCAAATTTAGCCCCTTGCATCATTCCTGCCTGTTTGTTGGAACAAAAGCAGAGACTGGGAAGGTTCCTGGCGACTGGGCGTGCCTGTGACCGCCAGGCATCTGGTCAGAGAGAGGGCCTCCTGTCTGCTCCCAGGAAGGGCCAGCAGCCCCACACCCCAGCTGACATCATTCTATCGAGCAGTTCTGGTGACCCCAGAACAGACAGGGCGAGGATTGCGCTGACACCCTGGGTTTAGTCTTGCTATAGTTATAGCTGTCTGTAGAATCTCGAGGGTAAAGGAGAATTACAGGCCTCAGGTGTGTTATTACTTGGGCGATCCACGGCCCCAAAGAAAGTGCAGAGGTTGCAGGGTCTCTAAGCAGAGGCACTTCCTGGAGTCTGCATTTTAACCGGAAGTCACAGGCCCTGGTTTAGGAACAGCTCTTCTCACTCAGTATCTTTTTTTGGTTGACTTTGAACCATCTTTGTTTCTGTAGGCCACATGAAGGTGCTGAAGGTGGAGCATTCTTGCCCACCGGGGAGGCCGCAGTGGATTCCTACCCCAACTGGCTCAAGTTCCACATCGGTATCAACCGATACGAGCTGTACTCCAGGCATAACCCAGCAATTGATGCGCTGCTGCAGGACCTGGGTGCACAGAAGATCACCAGCGTGGGTAGGTTCTCTGGTGCTCACGGCAGGTTATGCTGGCTGAGATGTGTGGACTTCGCCCTGGCTTCCCATAGGGACCTGGGCATCCTTGCCCACAGCTGGAGCCTCCTTCCCAGGGCAGCTGCAGGAAGCAGCCTTTGAGACTGGGTGTGGGGGTGGATGGTGACCTGGGTGCTCTTGACATTGAAAGTGCTATTGTCTGCTGTAAGGTGAGCGGGCCAATAAGATACCACCCAGCCGCCAGGACTGGCCAGGCCACCAGGACTCCATCCCCCACAGGCAAGTGGAGGGACACTCTAGGTGGCTGTAGTCCTTCTTCAGAGCCTTTTCAAGGGCTCTCTGCTTTCTGATCTGGCTCCTCTGGGAAATGCAGCCAGGTGACAAGGAGCGGCCAGGACTGCCTCTTCTGGGACAGTGCCAGTGGTTCAGGATGGAGCAGTTTAAAGGCAGCAACTTCAAGTACTTTGTGATCTGCTGAACTGCATCAAAAAGGCATCCAGGAAAGTGTTTCAGGCAGCTTCTAAGTGCTAGGTTTGGTGCCATTGCCATCCAGTTGTGGACAGTTGTGAATGTCCCATTAATCACTGCTGTTTCTCCATGGGCTGAGGCCCCTGTGCTTCCTAAAGATGCTCTAGATCACGCACTTTGGAGTAGAGGGAAGGCCTCCCTGGGTCGTGGCCACAGTTTCTGTCTTCATGTCTGCAGTTCTGCTGTAAGGGCCACTTCCGGTTACAGGGTCATAGGCTTCTGAATAGATGCAGCACAGGCAGGGAATTACCTGTGCTGCCCAGCTGCCTCTTTAGAGCTGTTTGCTGGGCTCTCACCTAGCTGTGGAAGTCATGATACAAAACTTCTAATATATGGCCAGGTCACCTGGTAAAGAAGTTGGAGCAGTTGGTCTCCCCTCTCCCTGTCTTGCCCAGGAGGAAGGAATGCCTTCCTGCTGTGGGCCTCTCCCTTGGAAGTCCCAGGCCCTCAGGCCAAGTTGGGAGCAGTGCTTTGGCCACGTCAGGCTGTCCCTCTCGCCCTGAAGAATAGGTATATCTGTTAAAGAGATGTACCACCAGCTTGATTATCCCTTTAGCACATACACTGGAGACCTCCTTCTGGGTGGTGGGGAGGGGAGGTGGGGTCACTCCAGCCTCTACAAGCACTGCTGCCTTCGTGGGCCTGGCAGCCGGAAGAAGGAGAGGCACATGTGGCCACGAGGATGTGTGGCAGCTGTGGAGGTATGCACAGGCCAGCAGGCAGGTGGACAGGGGACTGCACAGATCCCAGGACGGGCATTGCTCTGTGCAAAGGTGCAGGTTTCTGGGCCCAAGAACTCAAGGAGTAAGAAGAGGCTGGGCTTCCAGGGCCTACCCAGCAACTTTACCCACCTTAGGAGTCCTCTCTTCCTCTCTACAGGCCTGGCCTAGGTCATAGTGCAGTGGACAGCTCACATAGCCGTGGGACCCCAGCACCAGGCCCTAGAGGGCCCATGTAGCAGTACATCCTGGCATCAGTTCAGTGCTGATGCCACACAGTTGTCCCCTAAACTACAATGGCAAAGCTGGTTCCACTCAGGCATTCCTGGATGGGGCCATTCCCAGGATGGGAAGGGACCATCATTCTGCAGGAGCTCAGCAGGTGTGGAAAGTGGATTGATAGACGGGCCTATGACAGAGGCAAGATATGGGGTGCTGGCCCAGAGTAAGGCATGACCCTGACTCTCCTAGTCAATAACTGGAGTGAGCTTAGGCAAAAGGATTGAACTCTGCTATCCTTGGTTCTCACCTGGAGTAGGGACAAAAACCTAACTGCCCAGGTGCTTGTAGATGCTAATGTTTAGGAGGAGTGAGGGCGAGTATTCTGTGAGAAGCATGTCTTAGGGTTCTTCCCCCTCAAAGTGGGCAATATGTGCCAGGCAGAGTGTGTGCACCTGCATGTTCCCCATCTCGACCCCCAGACACTGTTGTCCCACAGGTTCACAGAGGTAGCCCTATGACACCTGCCCTGGTGCTGAGAGGTGCCAGTGAGAATAAGTGAGTACAGGGCAAGTATGGAGCCCCAGAGCTGTGGCATTTCAGGCAGTCTGAGCCCCCTTACCTAGGGAGTAGGGCTGGGCAGATTCCTGCGCCTTCCCAGGGTCTCATCGGTCCCTGCTGTGGCAGGCCTGGAGACCCTGCAGGGAAGGCACACCATGGGGAAGGCCCTGCTCCTGAAGAAACAGGAGATCCTCACCTTGGGCAGAGCAGTTTGCAGCAGCTGCTTGAGATACCCAGGCCCAGGTGTCCTGCTCTGCAGGGAGTGGCCCAAAGGAGGCTGGTCCAGCCTCACTGCAGTGTCCCAGGGAACACATGCCCTCCTAGAGGTGGTGTTCTTCCACAGCTCCACTCCTGCTGCCCCAGGCGGCCTAACTCAGTGTCAGCTGCCTCAGGTGTCCTTCTGTGTAGGAAGAGCTGATCAGGGCCAGGGTTATAATTCAGCAGCATGAGTACCTGCCTGGCAAGCACAAAGTCCTAAGTTTGAGTTCCAGTACCAAAAAAAAAAAAATGCTGGTCAGAGCCTTTAGGTATACACTCAGGTGGACATGGCAGCCCTGGCAAGGCCCTTATGTGGCAAAGGTACATGGTTGTGTGGGGCCTGGCACCCTTGGTGGGGGCTGGCATGGGACCAGCCCTGCCTTCCAGCCTCTGTTCTACAGCTAGGGAAACACCTCCAGGAGAGGAAGTTCATCCGTAGTAGCAGCCCTTTGTTGGTCCGGCCTGGGGCAGTGTTCACTACTGAAGTTGTTCACCCCGCTGTTGAATGTGAGCCTGGAGATGTGATGGGGAAGGATGCTGGTGAGGTTCAGCCCTCAGAGTGGTTCCATTAAATCCCTCCTGCTCAGAACCACTCACTCCAATCCATGAGGCTCTGTGTGGCCACAGCACAGCTGGTTGTGGCCAACAGAGGTTTATTTATAGCCAGGCTCCTGGCTGCCTGGAAACCGGCTGTTGCCGCCTTTAAAGAGGCTCGGCATATGATCCACCTCTGCTCAGCTTGAAGTCAGGCATGCAGCGCCTTCCACTCCGGGCTGGTGATAATTAAATCGCTATCATGCACAATTATGGATGCATAGAATAAATGACACAATTAACTACTCTACTTGGAATTACATTTTAAAAAAAGAAGTCACCAGTGTGTGAGGATCCAGCGGCCCCTGGCCCAAGCACAGACGTCACCATCCTCCATCCAGGTCAGGACAAAGCCTGCGGCTGGGGGAATGTGGCTGAAAGAACGTGGCTGAACAAAGGAAAATGTCTCCACAGGACAGAAGTCCTTGGTGCTCACTGATCTGCCAAGGGGAAGAGGAGTCAGGCTAGAATCCAGGATAATTGGCTGTAGGCTTTGAGGAACAAAGGGCCTTGGGCTGGGGCAGCCCCACGAGGAGCAGCTGTGGGTGCCAGGGCTGGACACGGCTGCCCTGTCTGTAACTAGATGGAGGTGGGTCTCCTGGGAAGGCAGTGCCAGCCCAGAAAGGCCACAGTCTTTTCACGCCCACCCCAGTGGCGGTTCATAGTCCAGGACCTGGCCTGGCCAGGGGAGGGACTGAAGATGCCCGAGTACCCAGATGCCCATGGCTCCAGAGAGGCCTCAGATCTTGCAAAGGACAAAGGTCCTGGAAGAGTAGGGGCTAAGGTCACAAAAGAGGCAGAAGCCCCTCAGCCTTGCTCAGCTCCTCTTCCAACCATCAACTGGAAGGCTAGAAGTGAAAGTCCATGCTGCTGGGGACCTGGGGTCACCCTAGCACCTGCCTTTTCCATGCTGAACAGAGACAACAGCATCTGGAAGCAGGCCTGACCCTGCAGAAATCTCCCGATGGCCCCTGGTACCCACCCCCGCCCCCCGGAACAGCACTGTGGAACCTGGTACCACAGGTGACTGCTAGTCTCAAAATCCAGCTTCTTAGAGGCAGGCATGGCACATAGAGCTCCAGGCCAGAGGCAGCCGGGGAAGAAGCAGGCCTGGGGTGTGTGCCAACTGAGGTGTGGAACAGATGACCACTGCCCTGGGTTAGAGCCTCCAGGTCACAGCTGGGGACAGGAAGACCCAATTGTGCCAACTCCCATTCAGCTCATCCTGGACCCTCATGTCTGAGCTGATGCCCACAGCCCAGGCCACTACTGCCATCTGTGGAGTCCAAGTGCACACCCTGTGCACTCTTCCAAGGCTCCAGGGCAGAGGGCATAAGGGGCTCTGTGGTTGCCCAGAGTGTGGGCCACTCACAGGACTCCTCTCTAGCCAGGGGTGTGTGAGCAGTATGGGAAGAACAGGGTATCATTTTCTCCCAATGGGAGCCTTCAGGGGAGGCCCTCTTTGCAGCACAAATGCTGTCAATCTTTCCTCTGTCTTTAAGACAAGACAGTGGGGTGGAAAACAGTTGAGTCTCCTCCACACAGTGGCCCAAGGACACAGTCCCACCTCCCAGATGAGAGAGCCAAGCCTAGCCTCCACTGGGCACTGGGCTGCATTTCACGTGGGGACCTCTTGTAGGGCCACGGATCTTTCAGAAATGGAGTTAGTTTATATAAAAGTCAGGAGGTGGCCCCTCCAAATACAGCTAGGCTTTCTATTAGAAAGTGGGAGACTGTGGGTGCCAGTCCTTGTTCCCACAAGGAACCAGGGCTTGGTGGTGGGTACTTGATCATCCTGCCAGTCTCATCCTATCCTTTGTGGGCACCGGGGACCTGACTGTGCCTTTGGACACATGAGATGATGGAGGAGCTGGTCCCGCATCTCCTACCCCTCAGCCTCCTGCTCCACACAAGGGTGCTGGGACCCTAGTCCAGCCACATACCTCCCCCTTGGGGGAATCTCCTTGCTGCTGCCTGTCCTCCCTTGAGAAATTCCCAGCTGGACCCATGGGGAGGGTAAGTCATGCAGGTGCCCAAGTGCCTTAGTATTTCCATGACAGCCATTCTTTCGCATGAGAAGTTTATATTCTTAAGCACTCTCTCAGGTTTCTGTACTACGTTGAAAGGGCCCTTCATTCTGTGCTTGTTGTGGGGAAGGATGATGAGCAACTCCAGCAGTGCCCAAGCGTCATGGTGACCTTGGGACTCAGTGTGAGGGGCACCGTGAGACAGAGATGCAGGGTGCTCTGCTGGCCCTTGTCAGCCTGTTTAGGTAACGATGCCTGCTGACAGGTGAACACTGTTAACCAGACATACTACTAACCTAGACAGGCTGTCAAGATGAGGATCCCAGAGCTGATACATCTGGTCTGTAGCATGGGAAAGGGAAGGGCAGGATCTGGTGCAAGTGCCAGTTGGACTGTGGTGGTGTAGATCTGAATGGTGGCCACAGAGGGAGGAGGGGATATGGAAGGTGGGGTGCAGAGGGTTTTCCCTGGGACTCATCCTGGCAGGTGGAACCTGGCAGGTGGAACTTCCCACAGGTGGAACCTCCCTTGCTGGGGCCTTGGTGGGGTTCCTGCTGGGCTGAGGCCATCCCAAGGCTGAGGCTGGCCGGGCCAGAGCTGACCTCTCTCTACTGACAAACATGGAAGATATCTACAGGAGCTCTCCTGCCTGGGCTGGCCCCTGTGCTTCAGAACCACCTCTGTCCCTAGTAACATGCAGACATTTCCTCCCATCTTGACCTTTCCTCTGTCCTCCAGAAGAAAACCCAAGTTTGTGTGCTCTTTCTTGATGTCTGTTCTGACAGGGCCAATGTCCTTAGGCACAGTGGGGACCGTCCACGTAGTGCACAGGCTGGGGGGTTTGCATCTCTTGCCCGACTTGGCTACACCCCTGGGCCTTTACTGCAGCTCCAGTCAGTGTGTGTCAGCTTGTGAGGGCCTGAGTTCACAGCAGGGTCCCCATTTCAGCCACAGACTCCTATGGTGCATGGTGACCTGGTCAGCAGACAGTCTATAGTCCCAGGGCCCGTGGTCACCAAGAGGCTTAGTGCCTTTGATTCTAAATTGCTTTTCTGCCCTGAAGGAGGAGTTGGGTGTATATAGGGTCAGAGAAAGGGGGATAGGATTTGCTTCCAGAGCAAGAGTGCTTAAACTGATCACATTTACATAATATTTTGTTATTTAAAAACTAGGATTATAGGCCCTGGAGAGAATCCGTCACCTGAGCATGCTGTCTCCAGTTGACCCAGGAAGGGATAATTAAGTCCAGCGACCCCGATTATTAAATGGAAATGGGACCATGAAATGGGGCTTAATCAGGCCGCTGGGTTTTTTTTTTTTATTATTATCACTTCTTTTTTTATCTTACCAAAAATTTGTAAATGTTTGTTGTATAAATTTAGAAGGCACAGATAAGGAGAAATAGAAAATTTAAGTCATCTGCAGTAGCACTAGGAAGAAAACCAGGGCTCCAGGTGCCTGTGCACGTCCTGGTTTGAAAAGTCCCATGGTGTCCATGGTTTTCAGAAGGGGGCTTATAGTGTATGGATGCTTCGTAAGTTGCTTAATACTAAATTGTAAGCACTTCGCTACACTTTGCTGTGTGCTATTAGACATTCCTGGACACCGGTTAGGAGCGTGGCGTTACTATCCACCTGCCTGGCTCTGGGCCTTGGTTACCTCCTGCATTTGGATGGATGGGAAGTACGCAGCTGCTGTCCCCTGAGGAAGGCTTGGCCTCAGGCAAGCCTGAACTGACCTCAGTGTGGCCCCAGGGCAGAAAGCTCACTTCCTGATCCATCCTCCTGATTAATCTGTAGAAAGGGAAATCCAGGGTCTGAGAAATAAAGACCCTTTTGGAAATTCTTCATCCTCCCTCAGAAAGAGAAATCCAAGGCCTGAGAAATTAGGGCCTTTTTGTGAATTCTTCATCCTCATCCTTCTGAGGTACTGGAAACCTGTGCTTCTGGATGCTCCTGGAAGCTTCCATACCTACCACTCCTGTGGACAGAGGTGCTTCCAGCCCACGGGTGCTGAGAAACCCTCAGAATGACTCTACTCTAAATCCAGAAATGTGCCCTGCGTGGACTGCTCCCTGACCTCAGACCAGCAGTGGGGTGCAGTTGTGTGCACAGGTGTGTGTGCAGGTATGTATGTGTATATGGGGGGGGTGTCTAGGTGTGTGCAAGTGTGTAGGTGTGTGGGTTTGTACGTGTATATAGGGAGTGTGTGTGCTTATAGGTGTGTATGTATAGGTGTATGTGCAGCTGTGTGTAGCTGTGTATGCACGTGTAGGGCATATGGCATCATGTGCATTTACACCTGTGCTGTTGGCCAAGTCCACCTGCCTGAGCCTTGCAGAGCCAGGCCCTTTGTCTTTGGGTCTGAACTGCAGAGTCTGCTGAGCACTGACAGCTGACAGTCAGGAGGGCCCTGTTCCAGCCAAGGAGCATCAGTGACGAAGCCCCAGATCTCCCAGGCAAAGTGGGGCTCTTGGCCTCATGCAGATGACCTGCCTATCAGATAGATCTGGAAGCTCTCCTCCCACCCAAGAACAAGGGGCCTGAGGCAGCCAGTGACCCTGCTTCTCTCTCCCTCCTTCCTGCAGCCATGAAGTCGGGGGGCACGCAGCTCAAGCTCGTCATGACGTTCCAGAATTACGGGCAAGCACTGTTCAAGCCCATGAAGTAAGTGCCTGTCACCCTGGGGTCAGGAGTGAGGCTGGGTGGGTATTTCTTCTAGGAAAGACATGTTTCCTCCTGGGGAGTGTCGGGTGAGCTGTGGGTGCTAGCTGAGCAGGCATCCAGGGCAGTGTGTGCCCTTGGCTCCTGTCTTCTCCTGTAGCCACCCTTGTTCACCTGCATTGCAGGCCTGAAAGCCACTGCCCACTCTTCCCAGCGAGGGTGAGGGTTTGTGTTTTTAATAAGGGACTAAGCCCCAAAGACAGCCGCTCTGGAGAGGGCCTGTGTTTCCCCTGCTGCCTCGAGAGGCACCTCCATGTAGGATGGCCCAGTCTTGGGTCTCTTCACTGTGGCAGGTCTCTTGACTTGGCCCCAGCAGCTAGGAGTGATAAAGAGGCCAAGTGCCAATGAAATGTTGTGACAAAGCCAGGTGGTGGCCAGAGTCAACCCTCTGCCTATAGTTTGCCCTGGCAGGCATGTTACCAGGACCACCATGTTTGAGGGCTGTGTGATCACAGGGCTTCTTTCCCTTCTCTGTGTGGACCTGGAGTTCCCAGGTCCTGTGGCATTCCGGCCCAAGAGCAGGTGCATGGCTGGACATCACCCTGTTGCAGCTGGGGGGTCTCAGGCACCAGCCTCGTTTGCACTGCTTGGAACCTCATGAGCAAGGCAGGAGCCATCTCCACAGCCCGAGGAGAACATGGCTGGGCAGGTGTGCGGTCCATCAGGACATTCTGGAAGCGGCTGCCTGGGGGACATGAGGCTCCTTGGTTTTCTTTGCTACCCTCTACCCCTATTCCTGGTTGAGATTGGTTGGCTATGAGATCACAGCCCTGTGAGGAGACAGTTTTACAGCCCCTCATTCCTGTGACATGCAGAGGTGTTAAAGGGCCAGTGGGGCCCGGCCCTCCAGCCAGGTGACAAATGGATCTGGACAGGTGGCTGCTGGCTAGGATATGGGGACAGTAGTGGAAAGTGACAGTGTCTCCGCCTGCCTTTCAGCTGTGCTCCAAGGGCGCGGCTCCTGGAGACAGATGTGTCACATCTGGTGGGCACATCTTCCAGTCTAGCTGACATTTCATGCCGGGAGAACTCCTGCAGCCCAGGTCTCAGGAAGGCCATGGACTGAGGTAGCCTGGCCAGTAGGGAGTGAAGTCTGGATTCTGGTCCTGGTCCCATCCCTGCCTGAGGCCCTGGCACCTAGATTCTCCTCTGCAAGGAGACAGAACGTCCAGTGCACTCTGCAGTGTCACCAGTGGGCCACATACTGAACTCTGCTGGGCTCCCTGCACCCCACAGGCCAGGGCGCCTGCAACATGGACAGCACTATGGTGAGGGGTGCTCACAGGCCATTGGGTTTTGTGTCATCCCCAAGGTGGAGCCAAGGAAGTGCTGCATGGTGCCACGTCGGGTGACAGCCTGGAGCTCAGAGCCCTGTACACTTTCCCCACCCTTGGTGGGCACTGCCATGTCCCAACAGTGGCTGTGCGAGAGGCTGAGTACAGAAGCCAGGTGCCTTCCTCTGGAGAACCTGGCTCTGGGGCCCCCTTGGGAAGCCCAGTGGGTGGGGCCTGGCCCTCCAGCTAACCTCAAGGCATGGACTGAGTAGGAGGTCAGTGCCAGGGTACAGTGGGATCATGGACACAGGGTTGAGATCCTGCAGCAATTGGAGAAACTGAGGCCCACAAAGGGAAAATGTGTGTTTGAGGCTAGGAAGAGGCAGAGCAAGGCTGTGGGTGCACAAGGCCAACCCAGGCCTTTCCCCTAAAGTGTGCATGGGCCAGGGGGCAGGCAGAGACAGGGACCCCACATCTGTAGGTGGCATGAGCACACCACAGTCCCTGGAGCTGTCCCCCAACTTGGTCATCTTGCTGCTTCTCCCTGGGTCAGGTCCAGGCATTTCTGGGCACCTGAGACCCTCCTTTGCCCACTTAGACCTAAGTCTGTTGTGGACTGTGGTCTGGTTGCCACCAGCCAGACACTCCAAAGACCTTGGGCCAGGCCAGGGCCTGAGGCTGCTGTCTACGGGGTTCTTGTCCCCTGTGGATGTGCTGAATACAAAAACAGCTGTGGTTCATAACCATAGCATTAAGAAATTAAAATCCATCATTAGCCGTTCTCTGTAAGGATGGACTTTCTCCAGCGAGCTCGTAATCGCCTCCTGAGTTCTTAGTACAGAACCATGCATTAATTAGATGGACATAGCATTTTCCCTTGTGGATCTTCACGGGGGAGAATGGAGGGCAGAGTGTGATGGACAGGATGGGAGGGAAACCATTGGAAGTCCGTGAATGTGTATTTAATAGACACTGGAAAACACATAACCAGCAAATTCCCCATGAGCACCTAGATAGTCTTGCTTTAGGGTTAAAGTGAGTATTTAAGCATTTAGAAAATGGCTTTATTGAGATATGCACAGACTGTACAAACCACTGACTGTCTGCAGTTTAATAGCTTTGGTATATTCACAGATCTGTATGTACATCCCCACAGGCATTTATTTTAATATGTGTGAGGTATAAGGGATTGAACCCAGGATCTTTGCACTGAGCTACTACATCCCTAGCCATTTTTATTTTTTATTTTGAGACAGGATCTTGCTAAGTCACTGTCTTGGTTACTTTTCTCTCATTGCTGAGACAAAATACCTGACGCCCAGAATTAAGAAAGGAAAGATTTATTTTGCTCACAGTTTGTAGAGGTTTCAGTCCATACTTGGCTTGCTCCAAGGCAGGGTGGCACATGGCAGAGGGCAACAGTTCGTGGCGGCAGAAAACAGCAAAAGCAGCAAGAGTAAAACAGGAGGAGCAGCAGAGAGCAAGCCTCTTTCCCTCCCTTATATTGTATGCAGGCTCCCCCCACCCCAGGGTGTGTGTAGCACTCGCACCCATAATCCCGGCTTCGGACCATGAATCAATCAGAAGCTCTAGAAGCCTGCCCCATGACTGCAGGAGGCTTTGGGGGGACATCTAGACACAAACCGTAACAGTCACTAAGTTGCCCAGGCTGGATTTGAACTTGAGTTTCTCCTGCCCCAACCTCCCAGAGTGCTGAGATTCCAGGTGTGCACTGCTATAACTGGCTCCCACAGACAACTCTAATCAATTTTGCATTTTTCCATAAAGAAATTACTTGAAATCTTACCATCATTCCTCGGTCCTCCTTACTCCTTCCTCCAACCAAACAACCACTAGGACCTCCTTTCCACCTCTCCACATAGTCTGGATTTTCATGGTAGACTTGGAGTCACGTGGCACGCAGGGCATTGTGTTGGCTTCTTTCACGTGACCCACTGTTTACAAGGTTCGTCCTTGCTGTGGCACATGTTGGGGCTCCATTCCTTTTTGTTGCTGAATGACATTCCATTGTATGGATGGACCACATCTTGTTTATCCAGTGTCGAAGGGCACTGGGGCTGTCATCACTGTCTAGAACGAATCACTCAAGTTTTACATGGACTCGCGTTTTCAGTCCCCCTGGATGTGTGCCCAGGAGGCTGCTGAGTCACAGGACAGCTATGCTCTTATGGGTGAGTCTGGTTCCCACAGCTGCTGCACCATTTCAAATCCTAGTAGCGAAGCACAAGGCTCCAGAGTCTTTATGTCTTTGCAACGCGTGTTATTATCTGTCTCTTGGATTGTTGCTGCCTGCATGGATACGCAGAGGTTTGACCTGCAGTTCCCTACTAACAAATGGTGTCCAACATCTTCTCCTGAGCTTCTTGGCCATTTGATGTCTTCTCTTCAGAGCTCATGCTCTTCTTCAATTGGCTGTTTCTCTTTTCATTAGCAGGTGCTAAGAGTTTTTTAAATACTCTGGATACAAGACTCTTAAGAGATATGTGGTGGCTTAGGAGGCACAGGCTTTGAGTTTTTAGGCTGTCCACTTTTTTTGTTACTCCTTGTGCTTTTAGTGCAGAATTTAGGTTTCAATATTGAGAAAACGTATTTTAGGGAAACCGTCGGGTGGGTAACACCCGGACTTTGCAGTCAGTGGACAGCTGGTTTTGGGAACTCTAGTGTGTCCACTGCTCCGCAGCCACCAGCAAAGGCCTCCCTCATGGGGACTCAAATTTACCTGTCAACAGAGCCTTAGAAGAAGAGGTCTCTTGGCTCCTTCTGGGTCTTAGCTCTGGAATTTCACTGGAGACAGAGACACTTCTCTGCAGCTTTGAGAACAGTCAGCAGGGTGGGTGGGTTCAATTGGACGTATCCACCAGTGCAGTCTATGTACAACAGATTTCAACCTGCTTCTGGGATGGGAGCCTTCCAGGAGCCTTCCACCTCCGGCAAAGATACTCATTTAGCCAATTCCACAGACACTCCCTGGGCCCTGGACCTGGCCTAGTGCCAAGTACTGGGAACACAGACATGACTCAGTCCTAGAGCTCGTGGGGAAGCCGCAGGGCGCTGACCCTGGATGTGAGTCCACACCAGCTGCTCTCTGAACGTCCTGCTGCACTAGGGGAGGGAGGGCAGTGTGTGCAGCCCACGAGGGCTGCCAGGGTTGCTGCTTACAGACATGTGCAGAATGAGAGCGAGCTCGAGCTAGTGTGGGGGTGGGAGAACTACACCCAGAGAAGGGTTGACAAGAGTTGAGACATGGGGGTTGGGAGGAAGTACTGTCCAGGCCAAAGCTTGCAGAAAGCAGGCTCCTGCTGAGGCCTGGGAGAGAGTATGAAGGTCCAGTGAAGGTTGGTTCCCTTTAGGCCACAGGAGCAGCCTGTGCAATGGACTAGGCATCGGGCAGTGCCTTCTAGGACCAAGTAGCCTCTACCAAGCAGTCCACACAGCTCGAGGCAGCAGACGGCTATCCACAGCTGTCTGCATTAGGGTTGGTTATAATGAGGTAAGGTTGATCCTCCATCTCCCAAGTACTCTGAGTTCACACATGGGCATGGTGCCCTGTCAGAGGGCAGACACAGAACACGCCTACTCCAGGGTGGGGCTGGGAAGTCCTGACTGGGCACAGACTCTGAGAGCAAGGTGAAGCTCAGCAGCCAGAGG